AATATATTTTCATATTGAAATCAAAGGCTTTTATAATGGACAATTCAATTGTAAATGATTACTTTATTTATGAAACCAAACATACATTATATTTATAATCTTATTTGTCTTTCAATAAATTGCATAACAATTCATAAAATTATAACCAATTTGAACTTATTTTAACCAAATATATTTTTAATTAATTTTCAATTGATAAACTAACGAATTTTTAAATTCTCACATGTTCACCATAACCTATATGATTAAACTTAAAATATTTACAATCTTATAATGTAAGAAAACAATTATAGGATTTTAATCTTGAATATATCTAATTCTATATTGATATGTGAATTTATTGAAATCAGTAGTGTCATCTTAAGCAGAGTAGAAAATTTTGATACTTTTAAAGATAAGTGTTTAGTTTTTATTATTATTTCAAATAGGAATATACCAAACGGTGACATGAACTCTGCTTACAATATGAATGCATAGCATTGAAAATAATATTAAATTACATTTAGTTTTATTTTATATTAATTTACTTATAGATTAATTGTAAAATTGTGATATTATATTTTACAAATAGTTATATGATTTACAGCTTAAAACGGATCTATATTTATTAAAATATTGTATTATATTAATGAAACTAGCATGTGAGCATAATAAACTATATTATGAAATTAAGCAAATTAAAAACTCAAATAAAAACTATTGAACATATAGGATGCAACAAATTAAAAGCACGTGCTATATTTATAACAAGGCAAATAGAAAAGAAAAACATAATTTGAACCTGTAGATTTGATAATAAATATTTTACTATTAATTTAATTATATAGAAGTGTATAAATTGGTTCAGATATTAAATAAGATGTACAATATTGGGCTAAACTGTAAGGAGATAACAACGTCCTAAATATCCGGTTCACATCATATAAGGTTATAAAAATTATAATTGTTTTTTGGCACACTATAATACTGTAGCTTGAAAGTATATAAATGCCACAGAATTCATGCATAAATTCATACAACAAATTGAATAAATCTTAACAAATAATTTGTTAGCTTTTATTCACAAATCATGAAATATTTAGCACTTATATTAGTGCTGACCCTATGGTTAGCCGCGACTAACGGTAGGAAACTAGAGGTTTCAGTGCAGGCGAATAGTGGAGACCGTATAGTTGGTGGTGTGGATGCCACGGCTGACCAAGCACCATTTCAAGTGTCTCTGCAATATCAGGGTTGGTTTGGTTGGTCGCACATATGCGGTGGTTCACTGGTTGGCACCCAATCCGTGGTAACTGCCGCCCATTGTACCGATGGGTATGTCGTTTGTAATTAAATTTTATGAAAATATTTCTAATTATAAAATCATTTAAAGCGCGACAGCGAGTCAACTGCGTGTAGCGTATGGGGGTCTGGACCGGACTAACCTGGCTTATATCAATCCAGTGGTTACAATATACCAACACTCCCAGTACAACACCCCCACCGAACTTAACTACGACTACACTGTACTTCGACTCCAGGATAAGATCCAGACGTCGGCCACCATTAAGACCATTGAGTTGATCGACGCTTCGCCGGCCGTCGGATCTAAGGCCCAACTGACCGGTTGGGGACAGACTATTGGCACCGACAGCAACTCATCGCCCACTAAACTACAGTACGCGGAGTTCACGACAATTACTCGCGAGGAATGCCAACGAAGAGCTGATAATACCATCAAAAATGCGCCGACAGTTACCACACAAATGATTTGCGGCGAGAATAAGTCGGCCTCCGGTTGTTATGTATGTCCCACTCGTATGTCCACTGAATGAATGAATAATTATATTTTGCTTTTTAATAATAGGGTGATTCCGGCGGACCCTTTGTAATCGGTGGCAAACTGGCGGGCATTGTCTCGTGGGGAACGCCTAACTGTCCGGCTGACACCACCGTAGGTCCCACCGTATATTCTGATGTTGGTAATCTAAGGACCTGGCTGCTGTCTAACATAGTATAATATGCATTCATATTGTAATCAAAGGCTTTTCTAATGGACAATTCACTTTATCAATCGATTATTTATCAGTAAAATAAGTACATAATATTTATTTAATTTTAAAATGTTATAAAATTTTAATATTATTATATGAGAGTAAGATTGTATTAATATATTATTTAATGGTTTCTAAAATAATATTTATTTATAGATATTATAAAAAATTACCAAATTTTAAAGTATTTAATAAAATATTCCATATCAGCAATTGATTTAAAACCAATATTTATTAACGTATCAATTAAATGACGATTGTCCACAAAATATATCTAACTTATAATTTAATATTTCTGTTGCAATCAAATGATTACATACTTGGATGCAATACAAACCATCAGAATATAGGTTTTAATTTTACCAAACATTTAAAATCTAATCTAAAAGACAATAACAGATGCCTTCTGTTGACAATAAATTTGTGTCGAGTTTTCTGTCCAAATAAGGAGAAAATCTAAACAAATGTTATCATAATATTTGGACAATTATTAGTAAACTTGATCTTGGTT